CTGAGACCTGTCCAGGTGTCCCTGTGACGGACTGAGACCTGTCCAGGGTGTCCCCCGCCCCTCGCACAGTGATTGCTGGACATGGGCACCGGCGACCCCCGTGACCCAAAATGGAAGAAGTGGGTAAAGATAATGGATGGATGGATGGATGAATAGTTAAAAGCTACAATTAGCATTACAGTAGCTTAAAGCTAATTACATAACAGCTTAAAGCTAAAATTTGTATTACAGTAGCTAAAAAATACAATTAACATGACAGCAGCTTAAAGGTAAAATCAGAATTACAGTAGCTGAAAGCTACAATTTGCAAAAAATGTTAAAACCTAATAAAAAAAAAACAAGCTACAACCTAAAAATAGCACAACAGTAGCTAAAACATGAGTAGCTTGACAGTAGGTTGAAGCTAATATTAGCAGAACGGTTCCTAAAACAAATAAAATAATGTAGCTAAACTAATAAAGTAGTTCAATTAGGAAAAACATTAGCTAAAACCTAAAAACACAGTTTGTTGTTAAAAGATAAAATTATAAAAATTGTACCTAAAACATAAAACCAGCCAGAAAAATACTCAAACGCTTGAACTAGCTAAAATAAAAGTTAATTTCAGTAAAACAAAAATATGAAATCATGTGAAATATTTAAAAAATATATAAATAAAAAACAAAATCTCATCCGGACAGTTCTCTGAAATAACTAAATATAAAAAAACAAAGTATCAGCAGGAAACGTACTTAAGTGTCCCAAAAATAACGATTTACAACAGGACGCCAACTACCACAGCCGAAGAGGGTTTGTTTAGCCACAGAATCAGCCGAAGCGGCTGAAAGCAGGCTGTGTAGACGGAGGTCAGAGCGGGATTCAGCCGAGCGTTTTGTTGACATCGAGCGCGTACCCGCACTTCAGAACTGGGCATCGACATCTCCGAAAAACTACCGGAGTAAATTTAACGGGACTTTACGATTCTGTTCAGAATAAATAAATAATCAACATGTTTGTGTTTATCTACAGAAGATCAATCCTGCTGGTTTGGTTGTTTCGACCCCACAGCCGATGTTTTGGATTTAAACGTTAATAATCTGATCTTGAGCCGTTTTAAAGTTTCTGTTGTTCGAGACGTTTCCTCTTCGGGCCTCGTCTACACGACTGAATATTTTAAAAACAATTAATTTAAATGTTTCTGTTATGGAGGGTGTAACGTGACTAAATTAAATAAATACATTTTTCACAGGGACACGTTGCTATGGTTTCCTCTCTCTCTCTCTCTGCAGCCGGAGTGATGCTCGCTCGCTCCGGTACTTGAGTTTGATTTGGCTGCTTGTCGTCTCTCTGCTCAAGAGAAGCCTCTTAGTGATGGAGCAGCAGAGGAACGTCCTCTGGACCCACACAGGTTTTACACCGAACACGTCTTTGTTCTGCAGGTAACGTCATTTCACTACTCACAGGTGACGAGTTACATTTATTAATTTATCCAACGATCCGTGCAAATAACCAAAGTTCAGAGTTATTTATACGTGAGGTGAACTTCTACCTGAGCTTGCTCCAACGCCTGGTTGGAAGTAAATTAATTATTCTGCTCGTTTCCAGGTGGAGCTAAAGTTCTGGTCCACACGTATGGACACATCTAGAAACAGTTTTATAAAGTCATCCTGTGAACCTGCAGCCTTTTAAAACGTGACTAACAGTAAAACTTCAAAGTACCGGAGAGTCTGGCCTGCTTTGAACTCTGGGAGTAGCTGAGAGTCATCCCCAGCACACCCTCCGAGCGTGACCGGTGGCGTTCTCAGGACTGGACCGAAATGACTCCAGGTCAGCCATTTTTCAAAATAAGATGATTTCAACTGGAAGATGAAAGGCGGCGGGCGATATGCATTCTGTGTGTGGACAGGAGCGCGTTTCAGAAACGCCGTCTCAGCAGCTGGTTTCCAACATGTCCGCCGTCACTTTGTGCTGCAGAAACCACAACAGTAATGGAACGTTTTAAACTGGTTTTCAGAGTTTGTCTTCATTTCATCGCCCTCGAACTGAGGGGAAGCAGTGTCGAAGGAGAAGGAGGAGAAAGAGGAGAACAAGAAGGAGGCCATTTTTAACAAAACTTTATTAAAACAATAAGTTAACACAACAGTGTTCAAAATGAGGACAAGCTTAAAATAAACTATTTACATGAGGAGCTTGTTGGATTGTAGTGGTCCCTGATCAGAACCGGTGCAGAAAACTTCTTCAGTCCAGTTTCACAAACTTCTCCAGGTGTCCAGCGTCTCTGGAAGCAAAACTCCAACACCAGTCTGGACTTGACGTTGCACTTCCACAGAAAAGAAGAAGTAGAAGAAAAAGAAGACCAAGAACAAGAAGTAGAAGAAAAAGACGACGAAGAACAAGAAGTAGAAGAAGACGAAGAACAAGAAGTAGAAGAAAAAGACGACGAAGAACAAGAAGTAGAAGAAAAAGACGACGAAGAACAAGAAGTAGAAGAAGACGAAGAACAAGAAGTAGAAGAAAAAGACGACCAAGAACAAGAAGTAGAAGAAAAAGACGACGAAGAACAAGAAGTAGAAGAAAAAGAAGACGAAGAACAAGAAGAAGTGTTTTTTGTGATTTGACACGTGTTTAACGTGGACGCCTCGTGGTGCGGCGGGGTGGATGGTTTATCGTAGATCTGGACGTCTTCTTCATAATCCAACGTTCTGAGCGTTCCCTCTTTGGTTAATCTGTGTGGACTGTGTCCTTATCTCGCCCGTTGTGCCGCGGTGACGCTCTCCTGATGACGCGATCGGCTTCGTTTCGCCTGCGAGCGGTTCCATCTCCGTTCAAGACGCGGCCGGCCTCCATGATGGATGACCCGATGACATCTGTCCATTTCTGTCCCTGAGGAGCTCCGGGTCAGACAACAGAAAGATTCAGAGGTTATTCAGGTGTTTGGGGTCAGACTGCGTGACCTTTGACCTGTGGTGACCAACAACAAGCTTCACATTCTGATGAGGCGTTTAAAGGCAGTGGGACTTTCAGACGCTAAGCTACAACCTGAAACACTCGTTCCAGTTTTGTTAAACCTTATTTTACTCATCATTTAACAAGTCCGGGGCGTGTTGGGAGTTAACGCAGATAAATCATCAAAATGATAATCTGTAGGCGCCCACAGCTTGTGTTGGGGATTACTCGCAGCTACTACCACACCGAACTTTAGCTCACTATCTGCAAAACTGTATGAGCTGGAGCTGTTTTTGTATAGCGGTGTCCAGCTGTGGCAGCCATCTTGAATAAAGGTCCTTCAGCGTTTCATTAAATCTTCCTCCGGTTCGTGATATATTTTGCTAACACAGACTCACGGCCAACATTATCAGCTGGCCTTTGGGCGATCGGCCTCAGAATCACCTTTAAAGTGCAGATGTCAGCAGGGCGGGCGGGGTCAGCCTCAGCGTGGTCAGTGTGGCGGATTATCATCATCCCTGCAGATTAGAAGATTACAAACAAGCAGCCATCAGAGCGGGAGAACAAATAAATCTGCTGCAGCAACGTCCTCCGAGGATCAGATTTGGACTTTCAGAGAAAGAAAACAGTTTTAATCTGCCTGGAATCGACGCTCGGGATGACGCACAACATTTGCTGCTTCTGTTCTGCAGAGACGAAACATCCGGCTGAAAGTCCTCCGACCCACAGAAACAACCTGCAGGTTCCTCGGGGACGGAGGAGACGACGGCTTCTGACGACGAGGCTCTCGTGGTTTCGACATGTTCCTCATCGCTGACACTCGTCTCAAGAAGAGATGCACGTCACCCGCCGCCGTTCAAACCAGAGTTTGAATCAAATCTTCTCAGGAGGATCAATGAAACACAACTCAAGACGTCAGAGGCTGTGAATGACTCTCAGCTACTACCACGCTAAATTTTAGCCCGTTGTCGGTTAAAATGCTCGAGTTGAGGCGGCCATCTTAAATGGAGCTGACCCCAAAAGTGAATCAGTTTTATGCTATTACTTAATATTTATTCACCAAGAGTTTCATTAAAGTCCATCCAGTGGTTCAGTAGATATTTTGCTAACAGACAAAACATTATGTCCTCCTTCCCTTCCTTGCAGCGGGCGATAAACGCCAAGCCGCTTGACTTCAATCTGACAGATTTTCTCAAAGTTTTATTTAAGATGCTTAATATTCATATAAATACATCTGATTCAAACAGAGCAGCACAGAAATTAAATTTATTTTTAAATTTGGTTTATTAATTAACTCCAGATTAAAAAAACAAACGCAGAAACGACCCAGAGAAGCATCTAATTCAAATCAAACAACATCCTTTAATTGTTTTTAATTAGTTTTAAAAACAGCAGCGATCCACTTTGGTCCCGTGGACTCATTTCTCCAGTTCGTTCAAACGCTTCCCTTTAACAGGTAAGATATTTACTATTCTGAAGCCTTCCACAGAACCCCACTGCAACAGATCTGAACTATCCCTTTAATGCCTGACGAATACATTAACAATGAACTAATTCACAAAATAACTGCTTTAAAAACTAAACTAACCACGACAGCAGCTAAAGGAGTTTATCGCTGGCCATGAGGGCAAAACTGTTTGTTTTGAACGTGTCTGTTAGCAAAATATCTCCTGGGCCACTTGATGTATTCCAATAAAACTGTGGGATTAACATCTACAACTGATTAACCTGAGTCAAGATGGCCGCTACAGCAGCAACCCCAAAAATGTTTATGACTGATCAGTTTTACAAACATGAGCTAAAGTTAAGCGTGGTAGTAGCCGAGAGTCACCCTGAACACATTCTGAGAGCTATTTTAGGGTTTAATCTGCTCGAACTCCTTCATTAGGCTCTGTCGGCGGGTGACAAGCATTCCTTCCCTCAGTAAACTGAACTTCAAAGTTGTTTTTGTTTTGTTTTTGAAAGTTCAGCTGCTGTAAAATCAGCTTCTGCTCGTTGTTTGTTTACCTTCAGCTTGTGTCCGGCTCGCGACCCAAACTCAGGAACTGAAAACAGTTTCTTGGAGCGGCTGATTGGCTGATTGGATGATTGGATGCAGGTGCGCTGATTGCAAACTGGAAGCAGGTGTGGGAACCGAGGCCGCCTACAGGCCGAACATGGAACTACAGGGAAGCTGAAGGGACAAAAAGCAGCGCAGCTTTATTTAACAAACAAAAACATCAAAACATCCAGCAAATACAAACTGAAACAAAGCACGAAATAATACTACTAAAGCTGCTAAAGCTGCTAAAGCTGCTAATGTTGAGTGGCTAAAAAATAAAAACTAAACTGAGTTACAACAGAATGGAAACTAAAATCAGCAAAACACTGGCTAAAAGCTAAAATTAGTTAAACCAGACCACGTGAAAAGGTAGCAAAGCTGTTGCTTAACGCTAAAATTAGTAAAATTAACTTCCAGCTGAGATAAGTGATAGCTTTAAGCTTATAAAAATTATAGCTAAATGCTAAAATTAGCCAAACTAACAGCGAATATGAGCAAAACAGTAGCTCAAAGCTAAATGTAGCAAAGCTATAGTAATAAATTTAATGTAAAACCACAGTTAAAAAAGCAAAACTGTTGGTAACAGCTAAAATATAACAAAGCAGTAGCTAAAAGCTACAATTATGTCAAGAAGTCGAACTGTAGTTCGGTGACAAAATGAGCAAAACTGTATCAAAAAGCTCCAAATTGCTAAGCATAGATAAAAGCTAAAGTTGGTAAGACAGCAGCCAAAAGCTAAAAGTAGCTAAAGGTGTAAATCATCCTTTTCTCCCTTCAGAACCAGTTTGACAGATTTCTCTGGAAGCTATTTGACGTGTTTTTATTTCTGATAAAGACAAAAACAATAAAAATCCTGTTGTGGTTTTCTGACTTCAGCTTCATGAGTGAAAAATCTAAAAACCTTCAGAAAACAACAACAAAATAAATAAATAAAAACAATTGAGTTCATAAAGAAATATAACGAGTCAAATTTGTGATCTGGTTAAAAAGTTCTGGCTCAGTTGAGTGTAATTTGTGTTAAACATTTTATTTCCTCGACTTTTCTAACAGAAGCTATAAAAACGATCATTTGTACGAAGCAACAAGATTTAATGTAAAATCAATTAAAACTTGGTCGACGGGCGTGTTGCTAAACAAAAAATATAAAACTATAAATACTGATTGTTGCAGTTTACACGTTAGATTCTCACATTTTGTTTCTTCCCGTTCTTCAGTCTGAGCTGCTAAAAAAATTATGAATAAAACGTGAGATAATGTTCTGATGCATGGCTCATGAGATAATGTTCTCATGCA